CCAGAAAAATTATGATAGTTAGGGGAAATTGTCTGCTTTTTGCATGTTATTATTCTATGTTCTTTGGTACATTATTTAATGAATTACTACCATTAGTATAAAAAAAAGGGTTAAGTGTCATCAACATTCGACAGCAAAAAATAAAGAAGACTCGGGTAAGTACATTGTTTCTTGTTTTTCATGTTTATTCTTTATTTATCATTATAAAAGTAACTTAAATCAAAAATTAAGGGTCTCTTTAAGTTACTTAAAGTTAGATTAGGTAAAATACATAATAATAATATAATAAAAATGTTTCACAAGGTGCACACGCGAGCAGCTCGGACTAGCTCATGGGTAATGTAATTCGATACCGTAAAGTGATCTCCACATTCCCCAAGTGATTTAGAACATATAATGGCATGAATAGTAGTAGTAGTTAGTTGTTCAAAAGGCAATCAGAGAGCAATAAAACAATAAAATGTAAGTATAAATAGATGTATATTGTTACGAGTTTAAAGCTACTTAGGATAAATGAATGTAGTTTCATTTTACAATTTGAAGTCATTCTAGAAAAAAAAGGGTAATTTAGATTTTTTTGGTAGTTGCGAAGGTGGTCAAATTGACTAACCTTGTATAGAGTTATGGTAGAGAAAATAACATATTATATTTTATCTGAAAACAAACATTTGAAATGTATTTACACAATATACACAATGGAAAATGCATTTGGTGAAGTGAATTATTCTCCATCACTTTTCTTATAATTTAAATCTTCAAAGGTACACAAAAACAAAAAAAATTATCGTAATTAAAGAATTACAATAGATTCATATCATTAATTTGAAATTTTGACATTAGAAACTTCAAGGTAATTTGGACTTTTATGACCTAACAGGCAATTCCAGTGCAGTGGTAATGAAAAACTAGCCTGACTTTTGTGTGAAGGCTTGATCAGAACATTTCTCACACAACCTTTCTCCAAAGTAGCAGTTGTTTTGCAGAAGGAACACACACACACACTTAATGTATTATTTTTGTACAGTTATGAAGATTATTTTGCATTTTTAGCTTACTATATGGATTTAGGACTACCCTAACTCTCCAAAGATGGTCAAACATCATGAGGTCAAGATTACAGCTGAAAACATCAATAACAGCAAGAGTATGCAAAGGATTAATCAAGGTATTCTAATAATTAAATGCTTATGTTTTATAATGCTACATATTCCTAGTTAGACTGATATATAAAACTAACTACAGTATTTGCTAAGATATGTTTTAGTTCTCATCTATGTAATGAGTTTGTTTTGATAAGAAGTAATTGACAAAACACATTTCTTTAAAGAAAAGTTAGAAAACTAGCATAAGAATCCAAACTAAAAGTCTAAAGCTATATTCACTTATAATACTACGTGGATAACAAGATAGTTGTAGGTATTTACACTTCTCTATGAGAACGTAGTGGATCTCAAAAGTGAAAATTGCACTTGTACTTTACTCATGGATAATTTCATTTATTACTAGCATTTGTGTTAAACATGCAGTCAGTCATGAGATGAAGCTGTTTTAACACTAATGTATCATTGCATATTAATCTTCAGCAAAAGAAGAAATCTCCTACATCCTATTTCAACAAACCTGATCAAAGAGCAGATAAATAACTCTGAATTAGTTAACTTACATTTGTAGAAGTTTTCACCTATCGTTAAAAAAAAGCCAGCACATTTCTTTATGTTTATGTTACTTCAGTGGCTTAAGAAATCATACGGTAAAGCATTTTCTGAAATTATCCCTCATTCTCCAAAGAAAAAACTCACCTCAATCCTACAATTGGGCACATTTTACATACGCTGCACTTTGCTTCGTGTTCAACTGCAAGGAAGTTAAAGAATTTCACCTAGTTTAAATGCAATAAAGTCTGCGTGTTCCAGCATATTATTTCTTTCCTTAAATTTTTAAACAATTTAGTATAAACATTTAATGATATTGAAAAGTTCAATTTAGGTTTCTAATACATGTACAGGACCTAGTTTGTAAGAAAATCTACAGTAAAATAAACATAGTTGTTTAAGACTCATAACATAGTTAATAAACACACAATTACTAGGACTATTCATAACATTAACAAAATTGTAGTAATGATCCAGTAGTGTTCAATGAACATTTACATGTTAAAGGTCAGGGATAGATGGCTGAAAGCTAGCAATAAAAATACATTTTCTTAATTTTGTGTAAAATATATTTGTTAATATGGTGAGTAATCCTAGTAATTCAGTTAACAGCAAAAAGAACGCATATCAAAAGACAAAAGTCTCAGTTGTTAAAACCTGTAATGGACACACATATACACATTCCAATAAAAAAGGAAATTCTATAGTCATGAAAAATACTAATATTTCATTTTACAAAAATAAAAATTTTTTTACATTTACTCAAAAGCTAAAATTCAATAAAGCTACAAAATTTCTATGGTGCAAAAAATTTAAAATTTAACTTTATATTAAAAAAAAATATTTTTCAAAAGCTTTAATTATTTTCATAATAAAAACCTATTATACAGAGAAGGAAAAATCATTAATAATTTGTAACAAGTAGTTTTATAAGTAAGAAATAAATAAAATTTACCAGTTTCAGCTGCAGTCATTCGATAGAGTGTTGACATCCATACTAATGTTTGAGGTTCCTGAAACATCCAGTCTACAAAGGCTTCTTCAGGAACTCCCTGGTTCCCAAATCCCTGTACACACACAAGAACAGAGAACTGAAAACATATTTACGAACACATTACTGACTAACAATAAAACGTTTCATTGAAATTTCAGAGCAGTTGTTACTTCTTGATTCTTTTTTTCATGATATGTTTGCTTGTTTAAACTTTAAGTTCAAAATTTAGTTACCTTTTGAAAACAGCTTTCAACTGCTGCTGGAACAAGTTGACTTCCAAACGAAAGATTTTCTCCAAGAAATTCTGTAATCTATTTGAAACATGAAAGATTAATCAGAAACAAAATTGCCTTCCTTTTATAACAACACAGTTTAACCTTATGGACACAAGAGTGTCAAAGCACAAATGTCACAACCTTTTTACAAAATTACAACATTGTCACAACATTATTTAACATTCAACATTTAATTAATTTACTTTATTTCAAATGTATGTTAATAAACTTGGAATCAAAACATATTATTTAGTTTTTTAAATATTTAAATAAATTTTGAATCTGCACTTCTCTGAGACACATGATGCAGTGACGCTCTGACTTCTCATTTATATATTTTTTTCTTCTGTTATATGCTTTTCAACCAATTAGAAACACATACAATTCATATTGACAAGCCAAAATACATATAATTCTAACCTCTTACCTTCTTGCTTTACTGAGATATTACTATACTTGTTCAACCCAAATGACTCACCCCTCTCATATGCTGTCTTTTACAAAATGTCTGTAATTCTCTATGATAGTGCTATTGGACATGCTTATAACAACAGAAAGACCATGTTCTAAACTACATAAATCAGATGATTGTCTGTTTTGTTTAAACAATCAAGGCTGATAGTTCACTTGATGTGTTTAGATTAACCCTATGCACACAACACAAGGTTTTAGCATCTTACATTCAAAATTTTATCAAACCACTTTTTATTTATGCTATACCAATTAGAATGCACAAATTCTTAGCTAATAATCCATATTTCAATAGTATATAAGTTTTAAGTTCTTCAAGGCAATATTAATATAAATTCTGAATTTCTCCTAGTGTGACCCATGTGATACATTTTCTCTTTTATCCACAACCCCTCAAAAAAGTATGAAAGTAATTGTGAATTATACTCTATAAAATCGTTATTACTCAGACAAACAATAATTTCTAGTCTTCAATTCCATTTGGTTACAGAGCTATAGAATACAAAATCAGACCACTCTTGCCACATCCTCTCTTTCACAATTCGTTGGTAGTTCTCTCTTACGTTTAATTCTATATTATTTATAACCAATAGAAAGTTAAGGTTTTCATCTATCAAATGACGTATTTTATAATGTGTATTCTGAACAAAATATCGTCAATTTCTCTCACACTACAAGATTTGTTCCTGTGGGATTTTATTCCTTATTTGTTTTATAACTTTGGTGATATAACAGTAAAATAGTTTAATTTAGAAGTTTTATGACATTGAATTGTAGCCAAAAGCAAAATTTCCCAAGTAGTGTTTATTCCCTTTGTCAATCTGTTGAGAATGTTTTCATGCTCCTTTCTTGGTAATGCTGAACAATATACATCATCACTTAGCCACAAACCTATTACCTGGTTGTTCTTAGGCCAACTATGATGTTTATGTTGAATGCTCAATATTCATGTTGATTTGTTAGAAAGGTTTACTTTTTTATTCTTTATTTTTTTGATAACTTCGGTTATATAACAGTAAAATAGTTTAGTTCAGAAGTTTTATGACATTCAGTTCTAGCCAAAAGCAAAATAAAATTTCCCAAGTAGTGTTTCAGCTAAGTCTTACATTATGTTTATTTAATGTTTTAGAGTCAGTGTTTAAAAAGCTTTTTTAGGTGGTGAATAAATGTTACTTAATATTCTTTTGGTATTTTAACACATATTACCTACTTGGTCTTAAAACATAAAGAAAAATGAATGTTTATTACTGTCAAATATCTTTTATCCTTTGTGCAGTCGAAAGAGTTGAAAATTTTTCAGAATGTCAGCATTATCTTTTCAACTTCCTGACCTGCAATACAGTGAAAAGGCTCAAGACTGCTATTTAGGTCTCTTTCAGAGTACACACGTACTTTTGTTCCTGATAACATTTCATTTTTCTGTATAGTTTGTACTAAAAATGTGGTGATTAAAGAATTACTTCGAGACTGATGAAATAAGTGAAGAGTAGGTGCATTTTGTAGGTACAAACAAATTCATATAAGTTTCGTTAATCATTGAACAGTGGTTTCCCATCGTTTCTGATGGGCTTTTATACCAGTGTTCATATATATTAGATAAGTTACCCAGGGTAGCATTAAACAGCCCTAGGCAGCAATCTTATTACCCAAAGCTTGTCGCATAATGTCCTGGCAGAAACTGTTGAAATATATCCAACTTATCTATTACATGAAGTTGTCTTATTAAATTGGCTCTGTAGTAAGTAGAAGATTTCACAAACCTACAAAGCTGATGTGACCTATATAGTTAAACTACTTTTTGTCCCTATAATCTGATGTGACCTATACAGTTAAGACAGTTTATGCCCCAGTAAGCTGATGTAGCCTATACAGTTAAGATAGTTTTTGCCCCTGTAAGCTGATATGGCCTATACAGTTAAGATAGTTTATGCCCCAGTAAGCTGATGTGGCCTACACAGTTAATCCTTTTGAGACAGGTCACAGGTAAAAGGCCATGTCATTTTGTTTGTTGACTCGCATTCAAAATTTTATTGAACTACTATTTCACGAATTTATGTTAATAACTTTGGTATCAAATTGTAGATTATAATTCAAATATTAGTACTATATATTACTCAATTTCTTAATTTAAAAGCAAATATTAAAAAAATACAGATAAACATTGATTTTTGTATGTCACATGGTATGTTGAATGCAACACTGATTCAAATTAGATGTTTGTGAAGTCAAAATACTAAGTCTATAGTTTTGAACGAATTAGAGACTCAAATTATCAATATTGACACGCTAGAAAATAAAATAAGAGCCTCTTATCTTTTCAATTTGCCAAGATATTGCTCATGTAATAAATCAAACACAGTGGCACCCCACCTACCTCTTTCCATTTTCTGAAATGCTCCCCTATATACACTCACCTCTGTATATGACATGAACAACCAATCAGATGCTCAGAATGTCCCCCTAGTGGCTTTCTCAGCCATTCTAATGGACTTGATGCCATTTCTTTTGAACCGATATTTCAACGAGGTAGGGTGTGTCTTTAGTCTGCTCGAAATGTCATATTTTTTAAAACTAAAATACATCTTAATTACTAAGCTTGATAAATTATAGTGGAATTCTATGGTTTTAATGTAGTAATTTATGATTTTTTAGTTATTCAAATGTATATATAAAACCTAAAAAAATATTTTGTTTCATATTCTCCACATGCAATTTTTTAAAGGCTTAGCAACCTATGTCAAGCAGCAACCGAGTAAAAAGGCCGTAACTAGAAGAGATAATTGTTAGCTTTACTTCTTTATTTACTGTTCTATGTTTTAAGAAAATAAGTATAAGAACTTATTTCAAAATAGCAATAATCTATATATATATGTAATGTATAATAATTGAAATGTGACTGCATTTTATAAAATACAAGTCTACTAAAACACAACCAAGACAAGTTACTTTGTACAGACCAAAGGTCAGTTTTATGTTATTTGGTACGGCAACATGAGTGCACGTGAGCCGCATCATTGTAACTTCTGTATTGTTAGCCAGACACTGCTGAAAAGTCAATAAAATAAAAATAATAATTATATAAAAATGTATAATGTTATGAGATTTAAGCTATTTAGTCTAAACATTTATGTTCATTCTAAAATGAAAGAGGCATAATATATATTTATTTCCTAATTTTTTATGGTGGTTGCGAGATCGGTCAAATATACCAAACCCCTACAGAGATAAATTACTGAAAATATCAAATAAAATATAGTTTTTTCTTAAGAAACGTTTGATAACTATCTCAATATTATAATAAGTTCGCATGTGAAATTTAAAAATTTTCTGATGCATGAAAGTATTTTTTATCTTAAAATGAAAATTACTTTGCATGATAGATAAGC